TCATGGTAATATTTTTTATTTTATTTTATCAAAACTCTCAAAATACAATACATAATTTTCAGACTGTTTATGCTTGTCTGTATTTGCAACAACTTAGAAGACACATGCAGAATATAGAGTTGAGGAATTGGTTGGAATTCATGAATTTGCTGACTGACATCAACAAAAGAGAGAAAGGTCAGCCATGCATGATGAGAATATAAACTGTCAAAATTATGACAGATTCTAGCATCCAACAAAGAGACACCGAAAGCATTAAGGTCAGTATTTGCAGATAAGAATGGCCTCACACTGTATTTCATTTCTGGTTTTGGAAATTTGGCCAAAAAGGAAAAAAGAAAAAAGAAATATATATATATGGACAGATAATACGCGGCGCCTAGACTCAGACTATATTCCTTTAATTTTATTTATTTATTTATTTATTCTTTAATAATGCATAAAAAATAATTGGAGCTTCGTTGTCAAAAATCTGAGGGAGTGTATGAGAGAATCTGCCATTATGTAATCTAAGTTGTCTTGTTGGGATTTCTATTTGCACTCTTTTTTTTTGTTAGAACATTAAAATTGAATTCTGTGGATTCTGCTCTTCACTTTTGTCTCCTCCCTATACTCTCACTCTCTCTTTATATACCAACCCTCACTGTCCTCTTGTCTCGACCAAACAACCAAGATCTGAGAGAAAGATACAAAGCTAGCTAGCTAAGCTTGGAGAGACAAAAATGGGTTCAACTTCAAATCCTCTTGAGCTAAATTCTCTTGATCTTGCACTGAGTCTAAAGCCCTCTTATGTCCCAAAATCACTCAATCACTTATTCAGTGATCTGGAAAGTATAGATAATGTTCCACACAAATTGTCTGTTTTGAATGAGTATCTTCTAAAACACCAAGAAGAGCTTCACAGAGTAGAGGAATTTAAAAGAGACGTACCTCAGTGTGTTCTTCTGTTGTTGGATGGTGAGCTATAGCTACCCCCATTTATTTATTTTTCCCTTTTTATCTCTAAGAAAATTGTTGAAGGGTTTGATCTATGTTGATTTACCTCTAATGGGTTTATTTTATTTTTTATTTTTGACTGATGTTTTTTCTTGGTTGTGATCATATTTATATAGCTATACAAACACTCAATAACGAAATTGAGAAGTTGAGTGGCCAAGATCAGTTCGATGCATGTAAGAATAGAGGCTCATGTGAGGATCCAGTGGAACGACGAAGTGCGTTCCGGAAATATAAGAGCTCATCACCTCCGTTTAACCCTAGGCCTCGCAACCAAGATCATACAAGTCATGACCATGAGGTAGGTGGCATAGACATGCAAAAATTCAGTTTCCCTTATTTTTAAAAATATTTTTCCCTCTTGTGTTTTGATAAATAATTATTTGATTTGACACATTTTGGTGATCTTGTTGAAGGTGAAGGGAAAGGAGCCGATCCGCAATGAGCCAAGTCCCAGGACACCTTTCCCTTGTGATCTGAACATGGAGGCAAGCGGTTCAGAGCTGGAGCTGGAGCCAGAACCAGATCCACAGCCACAGCCGCCAGAGGTACCTCCGCCTATGTGGAAACAC